TTATTTAAAAAACTAATATAATTTTAATTATTAAAAATAAAAGATAAATATTTAAAAATTTATATAAATATAATGTATAAAATTTATATATAAATAAATTGTTATTCTTTTATTATCTTTTATTATCTTAAGTTCTAATTTTTTTGGGGGTAAAATTTTAGGTTTTAATGTAAGTTTCGTGGTTTCATGTTTAACCCATCGTTTTGGATCCAAACCAAACCTTAAATTTTTGGATCTATAAAAATCCAAACGAAATAAAACCAAAACCAAAAATGATCCAATCCAACCTAACGGATTGGGTTGGACTGGTTTTGGACCGGGACCAACTTGCAGCCCTAAATTGTTTTTGGGAATTTGACGAAGTGTAAAAGTGGTATTGATTGCCAGTATCACTATTGGGAGATGATGTTGGAATCGGATTACATGTTTCATGAAGTTTTGTGTTTCAGGTATGTGATAAAAAGAATAACGAGTATGGTACTACAATTTATGAACAGGCTTGTGTTTACACCATAAATTGTAAAATTTTAAGATAAAGTCATGTGTAAAATATTTTTTAGTGGATGGAGGAGATTAGATCAGGTTAGATTCATAATTCTGGATCCTATGATAGATCAGCTGTCATTTTGGCAAAAAAAAAAAAAGAGAGATAAACTTAAGGTTTTACTGTGTAATTATCTTATGGAGGTAAAAAAGGGATTGTTTAAGCTAAAATGTAGGAGAGAATTGCAGTTAAAGAGGGGTTTTATCTGATGAAGAAATAGATGATGAAAATTTGCAAGGAGATAAGACCAAGTCAATTGGTAAGCTGTCCCATTATTTCAAGAAACCACCCATAATTGAGTAACTGCAGAAAGTGAAAGTTACTGCCAGCACAAGGAGAATAAAAAGAAAATTTTGGAAGGAATAACACACGGCCAGCCTTACTCAAATGTCTGTAAATTTTTAGACTTTATTTTCTCTGCAATCTGCTTCCAGATTTTGAATTTCAACACATATTCCAGTAGAATTAGGTTGTTTTTCATGATTCCAATAGGTAAATTAATTCATGTATTCAGTTCAACAATTTCCTTTCATGCAATGAACTTCAATCTTTTAAGTTTATGCAAGGTATTGTTCTCTTTCCATTTGCAATTAATTTAATGTTTATGATAAGTAGCATTTTATTCAATGATTACTTATGTGGTATTCATACTTCTTTTTAACTTCAAGCATGTTAGTTTAATCACTGTTCACGTTAATTTTAATATTAATTAAGATAAAATCTTTAATTATGCAGCATTTTAATTTTCAGATCTGCCAGTAGATAACATTTTAATTTAACAGTGAATATGTTTAATTTAATTTGTGCACATTTTATTCTCACCAATCTATTTTAAATTGCAAGTTATTTAATTCAATTAGGATTTGTTAATTTTAAGCTACAATAGTGTTTAAGTCCTTGGAGTTGTCCAAGGCAGATTTCTTAGCCCATTTTGCAGGAAGGTATCCCTCCCTCTTACAAATCGTCTATCGGCGCATATTTTAATTTTAATCCAACATCCTTCCCGCCATCTGCAAAGAAATCGACTGTGAGAAAGGAGACAATTATTGGAAAAGTCCTTCTTTCTTACTTTCAACAAAATAAGTAGTACACTCGCATCTAGATTTCATGCGTGCGATGTCACTAGAAGATTTTTTGGGAAACAACTTGTTATACAATTTAAGCTATGAGGATATTTAAATCAACCGTACTAATATATTAAAACAATCAACACAAGATATATAAAAAAACATCCTACAAAAACATTTTAGAAAAGTAAGAATCAATTACTAGTTGATGCCATAATTATATCAAACAGTGAAAAGCCAAGAACATAATATATCCAGAAAGTCTAACAATAGGAAGGAAGTTTATTCATGGCATATATAATTTAGTTTGAGTTTTTGAATGAAATATAT